GCCGTCTCGGTCATTCGGCCATCTGAAGGGGAGAGAGCGAGGAGGAGGGGTTCCTCCCGAACGGGGGGGGGGGCGTATTTAATCCCACCTACGTGGGCATTCACAGCGCCTCGCCTGGCGAGGCTGGCGCCATTTTATGTCATCTGGGATGCGTGTAAAGCACCCTTCGCTTCCTCTTTCCACTGTGGAAAGAAAGGCACATCATCCTTCTGATTCGTGCTGAAAAAGTAAAGAATAACCGTGTTGTTCTGTTTTTTTAATGCACGAACGATCTCTGCTGGTCTGGCCAAGTTTTTAAGCTGTGAATGTTTCAACAGCTTTCTCAACAAAGCACTTAAATTCAAGCCCCACAGAGTGGCTTTATGACGCCTCGTTTATTTGAACTACGTAATGTGTTCCAGAGAGGAGGTGAGCGGACGATCTAGAGAGTTCTAAACAGACTAAAGTCGTTTGAAATCTCCCAGTTGTCCCTAAACACTCCTTGAAGTGGCTTGTGATCGTTTGAGCTTCTCTAAGTGCTTGTGCGTGGAGTGGATGGGTGTCCTTGATATATATATGTTTTAAAATCCCACCAGGCTGTGCACACTTGAATGTGAAAGTTCTGTATAGGACGGGAGACACCTAAAAGTATTCCCATTCCAATCAGGGGTGCGGGGCGGGGTTGATGTGAAAGATTCTAAACAACCCAGCCCTGCTTGAACAAGCGAGACGCAGGCGTCCACAAGCGGACCGAGAGTACAGGGCTCTCGTGGCTTGCTAATTTTTCTCAAGTCAACTTTGTTTGGCATACGCTTTCCTGGATTCCACGGTGAGCTAAACGAATACTGTACATCTTTGAAGTGCCACAAGGTCCTCTTGTTTTTTTTTTTAACTTCAGCAAATTAAATGGGCTGTTTCCCCAGTAGGGATGATGATGATGATGATGATGATGATGATGATGATGATGATGATGATGATGATGATGATGATGTCAACCTTAGTGCACTGGTTATTATGCAAAAAATATAACTTGCCAACCTCCAAAAATGCGTGAGAACATCAGGTAGAGAACGTGTAAATGAAGAAGTCAAGATCTTGTGGGATTTCCAGATCCAAACCGATAAATACCTTGACACCAGACATAGTAACAAAAGGAAGAAATGTCTGGATCATTGACGTTGCAATTCGAGGGGATGCCAGAGTTGAAAATAAAGAATTGGAAAAACTAACAGAGTACAGGGACCTGGCAATCGAAACATCTCACCTCTGGAAGAAACTCACTTCACTGGTCCCCGTAGTCACTGGGACTTTGGGAAAAATATAAAGAAATTTCACACAGTACTATAAGTAGTTGCAGATTTCAGAAATAATACCATCAGAACTAAAAAAACAGCAATATTAGGAACAGCATACGTACTGCGTGGATATTTAACTGATATTTACGTTTTTGGTTTTGAGTAATAACAACCCACTCTTACTTTTGAATGTATTTTTAATGCACTGTCCTAACTGCCAGAGGAATTAAGGTAACAAATTTAGCACGTCAAATCTTTTGTAATATCTGGAGTAGTTGCACGGAATGGATTCCTTTTATTTTCTCTGAAACGCCGCCACCACATCCTATGCCACTTTGATGGGAGGTCAGGCTCAAGCAATTGGAGGGTGCTAATATAATGCACTCTTTAAACCAGTTTATTCAGAAGAAAGTCCATTGAACTCAAGGGTATTATGGTGTTAGCTCCCTAACAATATTCAAAGACTGCGGAGATTAAAACCGAACAGGCGAATGGGCGAGACCCACAACACTGGTTTAGCCTTCTTGTAGGGGAGTTTAGGTTAGGTTAAATTAGTAATAATTAAGTACCATCGCATCCATTCCCATTTAGTGGGATTCTTGCCAGGGTTCTCTAAGGGTAGCGTCCTTAGAAATGGTTTATCATTCCCTTCACCTGGTGGCGCTCGGCGTCCGTGCAGCTGGCCCAAGGCTGCACAAACTGGCTTTTCTCCCCGGAGGCTGAGTGGGGGAATGGATCTCCCTTGCTCCAACTCACTGAGCTAGCCAAGACACTGCTACCGTAGACATTCTGCAACTTTCTTCGCTGTTGGAAGGGCTTCTCCCATCAAGGATGGTCCCCCTGGTTTCCCTCTCCTCAAAGCACTTTTGAAATCCGCCTGGCGGAGATGTTAGGAAAGGATTCCAATAGTGTAGGAATGTTCTCACTCAAGAGTAAAGCGGAGAAGGGAGGAATCTGATGTTGAGCCCTGGTTAATGTTGCCCCAGTGTCAAAACTTTGATGCAAAGTGCAAATGTGAAAGGAAATAGGAGCTGGCGGGTCCGCTGTGGCCACACTTCAGCCCAGAGAAAAGCTCGGTGCAACATTTTATTTTGATAGAAATGATGGCCGTTAATATCCTACAGTTTATAGTTTGCCCAAGCGGAACCCTTACCAGCCTTCAGACCAAGTTGTGGGTTCGGTGAATATGTGGTGATGGCATCTTCTTCCTGGCAGCCACGTTTATGCCCTATTAAGGAGATGATTAGCCCTTCACCTCCCGAGGTGTCCAAACTGTGTTCTCGCTCAGCGCTTCCCCTCCTTCAACCCGCCGTGCTTTGAAAACGTCGACAGAGCGCCCTTAGGCATGTTTATTCGGACAGAAGTCTCATTCTGCTCACTGGGGCTTACTTCCTACCTGTCTTCAGGATGAAATTCCAGACCCGCCATCCTGGGAGGAGGCTCCGCTGAATTCCAGGGCATTTGCTTCTGAACAGAACGCCACAGACGGCCTATTTCTGCTTCTCCTTAAGTGCAGTCTCTTCCCCTAGTCATTTGTATCGCAAACATATTTGCAAAAGGTAATAAACACCAAAAGTAAAAACACTAGCTAAGCGGGTGCACCGCTGAAGTTCAGTTCGTCTTATTCCCTAGAAGGGAAAAACACAATCACACACACACACACGTCCTTTTTCTTTTGCCCTGGGTTCTTGTAAAGAATGGGGATGGAAGGGAGACAAGTTAAAAAGCGAAGTGCTATATTTTTAACAGTACAAACCAGAAGTTTATTTTATTTATTTATTTATTAACGTTTACCCTGCCTTTCTCCTTGAAAAGAACTCAGGAGGCTTACAAGATTTAAAGTTGACAACAATGGGTATAAAGAGAAACGCTCCGGATTCAAACTCCGGGTCGGCGTTCTTCTTCCTCCTTCGCAGGGTTTCCTTGCTGGCGTCCGTCGGAAAGATAAGCGACCACCTGGGTCCACCCGTTCTCCACCGCCAGGTCAAGGGGGAGGCGCCCCCGGTAGTCCGGCAGATCGAAGCGAGCACCCCATTGGCACAGGACCCGCAGGGTGTCTAGAAACCCCCCGCGGGCCGCGTCGTGAGCCGGGAACGAGCCGGTCGTGGGGTCCCGCAGGTTGGGGTCCGCTCCCCTCTGCAACAGCAGCTCCGCCATTTGGGGGTTGCCCATCATCATCACCTGAGGGAGAACGGAAGCGAAACCATCAGTCACCCTCCAGGACAGGAAACCAGCCCACCTACCGCGTGGGCTCATTTTGATAAGTTTTCTTAGTCCGAACTAAGACTGAAGTACACCGAATAAAACCCAATCAGGAGTTAAAATGGAGCCCTCCGACTTAAGGCCATTTCAGAACACTTAACTGAATTATGAGTGCTTTTTCCAGTGCCTCGACAAATTAACTACGGGGAGAGGAAGAGATGAATCATATACAGTATTCTCTCTCCTTCGGAAGTTAATGGAAACAACAAATGTTGCAGTTTGCAAGTATCAAGGATTATCACTGATTTACCTTGCTGTTATACTGTGCCATCAAGTCGGAACCGACTTATGGCAGCTCTAAGTAAGTTTTATACAGTACTTTGGGAGTGGTTTTACCAGTTCTGCTTCCCAAATGAGTTTCCATAGTTGAGCAGGGGTTAGATCAGGGTTTCCTTAGTCCTAGTCTGTCACTCTGTCCAGCACACCACACTGCTTTAATTTACACCACTGTAAAATATGACGGATATAACAAGGGATCTCAATAAATCAATAGACATCCAATATTAGATCAAAGTATTAAATTACATATCCAGTGGGCCCCATCCACCTATATTAGAAAACAGGACATTGAAAGATTGCTCAATTCCACTCAATTTACCCCCAGTGTTCACAGAAGTATTGATTTAAATTCCACCTTATGTCAGTGGAATGAATTACTTCTGAGTAATCAGATAAAATTACAGCCAAGGTCCTCATAACTCATGCTCTGCAGGAATCTGAAACTACTCCAACATACAGGTATGGCATTTATTTCAAAAGTACCCCCCCCTTTATAGAATGAATATTTCTTAGAAAAGGTGCAATAGATTGGGCTATTAAATCCACCTTTAGCTGTGTAGTGTCCTTCAATGGAGGGCATCACATGAAGCCTCACATAAGTGATGTCTCCTTTATTGTTATGTGTTGTCCAGTCAAATCCGACTTAGGGCATTCAAGGTATGTGAAATATTTAAGAAATGGTTTTACCAGTGAATTTCCCTGAAAAAGTGAATATTAGGACCCAGGTTTCCTGAGTACTTATCTGTCACTCTATCCATTGCATGATGCTGACTCTCCTTTATAAAGAAATTCAATTTATCCTCTCCATAGAAATCCAAGGGAACTGTTTGACTCTAAATGGATGTCTAATGTCAGTAATGGGACAGAAAGAAGACAAACAAATGGAACTTAATCCAGAGCAGTCAGAGTATACCTCCCATAATTTAAAAGTTATTTCTGGGAACCTGTATTGGATGAGATTGCACATTCCCTGAAAAAGTAAGTTCATGTTTAGGGTATACTTCTATATCTGGACGTCTAGATTCAGGGAGTGACCAGGAAAATGTTTGTACAGTGAATGCAAGCATGCCAGTTGAGCTAATTCCTGAAGATGTTGGATCTGACTTTGACAACACCTGCCTTACTTGCATCCCTTCAGGATTATTTAACATGCTCCATGTGGGGCTGACTTTGAAAAGTGTTGTGGCTGTACTATTGACTGGGGTATGGTACCAATTACTAGCTTCAACAGCTTCACCGGGTACATGTGTATTTCTGAGTTTCATCATCATCATCAAGTACTAGCTCCAGTTTAAAAACCCTTATAAAGCTGCTTCCAGGTTCTCCCTGTTGCATGAGCTCCAGAATAGGGATAGGAAGCTCAGCCTGTCCCAAAGACTAGGGTACAGTGGTCTCAATCCCCTCCTGCCCAATCATCAGATACAACCTGAGCCCTCTGAGGAATGATAAATCAAAAGTGTACTTGTACTAAAAAAATACTAAAGCATAAAAACATCAAAACTACTGCTATAATTGAACTTCCACAGGAGTAAGAAAAAACAAAAGCATGCCCAAAAAGAAATTAAGGCTGAAATGAATCCTACGTATTTGGGAATAAGCCCTGTTAAACTCAATAGGATGGGTTTACTTCTAGTTAGATATTACATTTGTAAAAATCTTCATGAAATTGATTGATTGGTAATAGAGAAGGAGAAGTAATCCCACCCACTCCCCTGCACTATGGTAGCTTCTGTGATTTTCAAACCTGACTGGAGGTTGGCCTTGATCACCGCAAGAGAGGACTTTCATTGACAGAGGTTTTCTGTACATGCCTCCTCTATCTTCTACATTCCACCAGGCTAAATATAAAAAACTGGAAACATTGCAGGGAACCATGGAGGATAGTTTTCCCCTTATCCCATAAAATGGCAGGGCGGGGGGAGAGAGAGAGTATAAAGAAAGGGAGCACTTCCCCTGAGCCAATAGTGTGCCTATTTCCTGGCAGAGGAAGAACTGAGAAAAAAAATGGCAGCCATTTTTAAACTTCCAGTTTGAATCCCTAAGAGAAGCAGAGGCTTCTAACAATAGGCTCTCATTATCCCTAAGTGAGTAGTAGCCATAAACATGTCTCTTCCCCCCCCCTCCAAGAGTGTTCCATTTGCACACCACCTGAAATGTAGAATGTGTTTCTCTCTGGTAGACACTGATGGCTGAGAGCCAAGTGAGAAAGGTATGCAGAGAAGAGTGCACCTTGTGCTGCTTAGCATATTTGCAGCTTAACATATTCCTCTGTGAAGTGCAGAAAAAATGACTCCATGGCCAGAACAGCCCAGCCAAGACATGGCCAAGCTGCAAATATGTTAAGCAGCACAAGGTGCACCCAGCGCCACCTCACTGTTCTGTTGCTTGAGGCAGCCACTTCTCCCAGCACCAATAGCAGGGCGAATATGGTTGCTTGAGGTAGCCACTTCTCCCAGCACCAATAGCAGGGCTGGCTGTGTATAAAGCTTCTTGCTGTCTTTGAAAGCCTTGCTTGCTTGCTGTCTTTCTTGGAAGCCACATCTGGTTAGCTCTAACACAGAAAAACTACTCTGTTATCTATGAGCTTTCTATAGCTTTTACTTTCGTTAACCACTAGTTGTTAGGTTTCATTCCCCGTATTCATGGCTGTGGCACTCATTTAAACATCAGTGAGGAGAATATCCCTGGTTTATTATTTAATAAATAAATATTATTTATCATCCGATAAACAGATGAGGAAATAATCCCAAAAAGTACCAAAATGTCATCATTTTTGCTGGGTAATCTTTTACCACCCTAAAAAAACAGTCTTGGGTTCTTTTTGCCCTGCTCTCCTTTTTGCTGGCAGGCAAAAGGCCTTTCCCTTCAACTGAACATTTGACAATTAACTGATGGCTAAGGAAGAGATTATTATTATTTTTTTTTAAGATGGAGGTGCTCCCAACAGTTGCTTTTAAGACCAGTGTGTTTTCATACTGTAAACTAACTCTGCTTTCATATTATGACTTTTGTGCTTTGATATTACAACTTTTTTGCTTCTTTATTTTTGATCTGTACTCTTTAAGAAAGCTAAACTCATTGTGTGCCACTTTGGGTTTTAAGTTTTTGGAGAAATAGATGTTTATCGAAGAAATCAGTGGGTCTTTGTGGGTTTAATTGTTGGCTATTGTTGGCAGGGCAGCCATTTTGGGACTGTTTCCAGGATTCTCATAATTCCAAAGGTGCCCACTGACACCCCCAAATGCTGGGAACCTCTGGTGCAACCTTTACACTTCACATGTAGAATTTTCAGGCATATTTCCTCCATCCAATCAAGAGCTGCCAGGAATTGCATATAGGATGGATGATTTAACTGATTGATTTGATAGTGTTACTCTGCCACTAAATTCTCATATTAAGGGTTTTTGGCAGTAGGGGACAGTTCGGTTGGGTTGTTGATTTTTTGAACAATTTATTTTAGAGTATTATGGATTCTGAGAGAGACACTGTACTCTGGCAAAAAATTCAAATTACAAAAATAAAGCTGCAATCTATTTAGTAGAACTGTGACTGAGGTAATGTTAAAACGGAAAGACAAGAAATAAATATGTGAACTTAAAAGACAGAATATTAATACAGAAGTGAGAAGAAGAACATAATGATCACACAGATCTTTACCATGGGGTACTCAGGTGGGGAGACGAAAAGGTATCTCCTTCTCCTTTTAGAGGACATTTTTTTCAGAACATAAAGATGCTCTTAGTTTGATCAATGTTTAAAGCTGCAGCATGGTGAGGACGTGTTTTGGACGTTATCTCTGGATCTGTGCCTACTGCAGCCACCGCCCGTATGTAAAAAAGGTCCCTTCTTCTCTCCACTTCAACAAAACTCACATAGATTATTTTTTTTAAAAAAATCCAATAAGGTAGTCGCTCGTTCGGAGGGGGACACAATTATATAGAAACGACATAAGAAACATAGTCCTCATCGCACAGAAGGATCCAGTCCTTGTGCACTAAGTATCTCGCTCTTGAATTTATCGGAGATGGAAAACAATCAATTTATGCCACAGTTCGATCATTAAATACAGCCACATTTCTAACGGCCTTTGTGTTTCTGAAATCCTGAAAACACAGTTCCCCGCTTACAGAATTGACATATTTCGTGAGCCGAACTGCGAGCTAAGGAGCGTCCCTGGATTGCTCGCAAGATCCCCTAACATGAGAACTGAACATCCAGTCTAGAATCGGGTCAGGACGTCCTCGCCTTGAAGATCATTATGGCATTCAAAAAAACCCCACTTTGAATACACAAATAATATTCTGAGAACAATTGGCTTTTAACTGAGAGACTTTATAAGGAAAGAATCTCCCCCCCGAAACGACAGTAAAGATATTCATTTTTACTCCTCTGTGGTATATGCTATATTTATATAAAAATCTTATGAAGACGAAAGAGAACAGAAACGGATCAAGGCGAAAGCAAGGCTCTTTTTAAGTTTCGGAAGCAAACTGTGCTGAGATACGGTCTGCTGCTTTAAACCAGACTCATTCAATCTAGCACTTCTTGGCGGTCAAGTAGAATTGATCGAAACTTGGGAAATAAAATAAAACACAAACACACACACACACATTTTTTTCTCCTCTTCCACTTTTTCCCCCCACCACACCCAAATCTTTATCTGAATTCGAAAATTGGGAAATAAAAGAAAACACAAACACACATACACACACACACACAAACACACACAAATTTTTTCTCCTCTTCCACTTTTCCCCCCCACCACACCCAAATCTTTATCTGAAGATGCGCGTGTGCGTACACAGTGCAGGTCGGGGGTGGTGGTGGGGGAGGAGTGAAGAGTTGCATGTTTGAGGTCCTTTATATCTAATCACTCGTCCATTTTTTTTTTCAGAATCATAGTTTTATTTTCTTTAAAAAGTTTCCGGGCTCCAGAAAGTGCAAAACCTCTCCGGATGTTAATAGGGGGGAGGAGAGATAATGGCTGGCACGCTCCTGAGCAGCAGCAGCAGCAGTCTCCACCCAGCGTCTCTACCTGAATGGCGCTCCTGCCGTGAGAATTCATCCCATTGGGGTCGGCGCCCCCCTCCAGCAGCCTTCGCGCCTCGTCCACATTGCCTCTGGCCGCCGCGCTGCTCAGCCCGTTAGCCCGATCGATACCGGCCCTGCGCAGCATTTCACGATCATCCCAGAAAGGAAGGGAGGGAGGCGCGCGGCCACGCGCTCCTTCTGCCGGCGCCCCCTGGGAGAACGGCTGCCCGAGAGCACCGCCCCTTGTTTTGCATAGCACCGCCCACCTTTTGCCTCCCGCTCCCCTTCGCGGGCTTGACGTTGGCCGCCTCTGCCACCGCCCCCCCTCCCCTCTCCGGGCTGAAACAGACGCCAAGAGGCAGGCGGGCGGGCTGGCTGGGCGGCCGGAGGCTGACCTTGGCCGCCGGCGAGATCGCTCTGAAAGCTCCGCGATTTTCTTCCTCATCTCGATCTATGGTACACTATGTGACTTCTATCGCTTCTGTATGAGATCAGATGACTAAGAAGACTCCTTGGAAGGCTACGGCAGGGGCGGAAAAGCAACTGCCCCGCATGTTGAAAGCAAGCAAGCAAGTAGGAAGGGCAAGACTTCGCGGCACCTTAAAGACTAACCGCTTTGGTTCCGTGTGAATGGATCTAAAGGCAGTTCCCCAGACACACATTGCAGAAACAGTTACTTTCGAACCGACCTACCGACCTAACCGACTGCCTCTCTTTTAAGCACTTGGGACGGGTTGAGGACTAGCCCTCCCAGGCTTTTGACTGCAGACCCAAAAGCTTTGGTGGCCTCTTAATAAACGGCCCGTTTCCTGCTGGGTAAACAAACTTTCATGGGCTGCGGTGCACGGCGGAGCAGAATTGGAAAAAGACAAGGAGAATTGAGGGAGGAGCTGCCTAGACTGCCTTGAGGGTGCAAGAAGAAAGGAGAGATGATGTAAATGTAACTTTAAAAAATAATATAAGAACTGCCCTCCTCCCACTCCCTCCTCCCACTGCACCCAAAATGCCAGAACACGTTAAAAAGAGCCAAACCTTTAATTTAAAAATCAGAGAAGGGAAACCCTTCTCTGATTTCACTAGGCAAAGGGAGGATCATGTTTTTTCCTCTTAACTTCTTAAAGAAAGATACTCTGCGATTACTTTCTAACACACACACACACACACACATATTTGTAGGGGGGTGAGGGTGAGGACCTGTCCTGAGGAAAGGCCCTGCTGGAAAGATACTCCTGGAAGCAAATGTTGACAGTGAATGCCCCGAGTCTGGTAGTTCTTCCTCAAGGGGAAAATGAGGCAAATGTAAAGGTAATAGCCACAGAGTAAGAGGTGGGGTGGGAGCATGAAAATTCAGCAATTTGACCTCCTGTCGTGGCACTGCATTTTAGCATTAAACTCCGTTCAAGAGAGAGGACGGAAACCTGAGGAGTTCAAGGTAGCTGTGGAGCTCTCAGATTACACACAGCAATGCTTGCTGAGATGAAGAGAAGATCGTGGGTCTAACATCTCTGGAAGGAATGTCCTGGTTGCAGCTTGGAACTTCAGCAGATGTTAACGGAGTATTTGAGTTTTGTGGACTGTAGTCCAAGTTAGAGAAGCTGAGAAAGCTGCCTTATACTGATTCAGACTGTTTATCCACAGTAGTGGGGCTCATCTCAGAGGAGAATTGAGTCTGCTTATGGGGGGAATGATTGGTAAAATGGTGTAGTGAGAATTGCTTCTAAATACTGTATTGTACTTCAAAAACTGAGGAGCTTGTAATAGATTATAGGAAGAAGGGGATTGATATCTCACCATTATTCACCAGTAGAGACTGGGTAGAAAGGGTGAGGGCTTTTCATTTTTTTGAGTGTCCATATTGAGGAGAACACGACTTTGAGTGTAAATACCTCAGAGGTATCGAAAAAGCCTCAACAGGGATTGGACTTTTAAAGGATGCTTAGGAAGAATAGCATCACTCAAGAGACTGTTGGTGTCCTTTTTATCGATGCTCAATAGAAAGTGTACTGTCATACTGTATGTCCACGTTGTACGCGGGTTGTACAGAGGCCCAGAGAAAATCGCTCCAGAGGGTGATTAATGCAGCACAGAAGATTGTTGGGTGTCCCCTCCCCACCTTGGAGGAACTGTACAGGTCCCACTGTCTTAAAAAAAGCACAAAATATTATAAAGGACACCTCCCATCCTGGACACCCTTTGCCTGAACTACTGCCATCAAGAAGACAACATAGATCTATTAAAACAAGGACAAATAGATTTAAAAACAGTTTTTAATCCAAGGGTGGCGACTTTGCTAAATTCAGTTAAGATTTAATTTGACTTGTTGTAGGGTTGCATGTGAATATATTTTGTTGCCATTGTATTATGCTGGAATTTTGTAAGGAGTCTATATGGAGTTTTATATGGGTGATGCACTGTCTGGACAGCACTCTGATGATTTCAATGCATAATAGTGTTATTCTATTCTATTCTTCTGTTATGAACAAACAGTTTGTAGCAATTCTCACAAGCCAGAAGAAACCCCAGATCATGTTTTTATAGTTTCATAGTCAGAAAATAATGGATATTAAATCATTTTCAGGTATACTGTCTTCTTATATTTGTTATAATTATATTAGATGATTGGTTTTCATGCTATCTTCCTTACACAAATGAATGGTAAAAACAAATGTTTCCCCTCTTTTGAGGTGGTGGTGGTGCAACCTTTTCCTTTTCTGCTTATGGCTGTCCTGCCACCTTCTGAATGTTCGATATTTCTATCTGTGCCTTTTATTTAAGTGGCCCATGAAAACGTCAACTATGAGGTGAAAATTCTAAGTTGATAATCCCTCCCCCTTTGGATAGGACTAATATCTACCTGAACATATTTGATTCTGGAATGTGTTCCTTGGGGGAAAATTAGAGCAGGGTGGGCAGAATTATGAATTATATCTTTTAATATGCAGGATGTGGCTTTAATATGCAAGACCTGTCTCATTGGTTTAATTCCAGTTTATCTACTTTCTTAGAGATCCAGTTCCAGCTGGTTAGGAAATGAAGTACTTTCTGTACTGAGTGCAAATTGTTATGCTGCTGTTGATGGTTTGCTTTGTTTATTTCGGGGTGGCCAAAGTGCAGCAGGAATGAAACACTGGCTTTGATGATAATATCAATGCAGGCAAAGCAGAGATTTGCAGGGTAGTGATACCCACAATTACATAATCATTACTAGTCCAGTCCATTCTACCTCAAAAAAGGACATCTTGATACTTTTAATGGGCATGGTGCTAGATCAATATGTCTAGGGAGTTTTTTTTATTTTTATTTTTGCAGAATCAAGGACTGGGGCACACTGATTATGTTTCCCTGGGGCGGGAGTTAAGGTAAAGAAAGAGTGCATCAGTGCACTCATGTTTTGAGGGGGAAGTTGATATGTGATCTGCATTTCTGTACTCTTGAGGTTATAGCTTCAACCATAATTTTTGCTTTGAATGAAAGCATCTCCATCCCTTTGGGTAAGTATCTGAGCATGTGTCTATACACACACATTGACATTCACATTTACACATATGTATAACTTTTATGGATTTCTGGCACAGAATACTTTGATTTACTGTAGCAAAATCATTTCATACTAAAAGGATAGTGTCCATCCAATTCTTGAATTTCAGAAAGAAAATGTTTCATTTTCAGGTGAGGAAGTTAAGTAGGAGTAGGTGAATCCTGTATCCATCTTTCTATAAGCTTATTCCATAATGTACACAGCGAAGGAATAATCCAAAACCTATTTTAAAAACAAAAGTTAAAAAAATCAGCATTGAATACTTAGAGGATGTTTCACATTATGTAGAACTGTTTTATAAAATTGGATTGGTGCAGTTTCAGTAATCACAAGTAACATCCTGTCATCCCAATTCAGGCAACTTGCCCGCATGAGTAAGAATCTCAGTCTACCCTTGCCTTCTGGACAAATAAAGACTGTCATTGTGATTTACCAAATCTTCAACACTCTTTTCCTAAAATTTGTAATTAAAGGAAAAAAATAGGTATAGTGTTCAATATTTACTTATGGGATCCAGCTGGGCAGAAAATAATTGACACTTTTAATCAATTATAATAAACTTTGCCAAATGAAGGCACCTTTCACTAATCCAAGTTTAAAAGATCCACCTGATTTTCCTACCTAGCATTTCATTAAGAGTTTCTATATGTTTAAGAAACTCCCTAGGTATTTAGAAAAATATAGGTATCTAAACTGAAAGTAATAATGATAGCAATAATAATCTTAGATCTGTAGAGGTGGAAGGGAACTTGTAGATCATCGAGTCCTGCCCATGTCAGGGAGGCACAGTGGGGAACTAAACTCCCAACTTCTGACTCTCTAAACCACTAACATATCCAGCAGTTCATTACAATCATGCATAAAAAGAGAAATAAATGGACATTTCCTTGCCTGGAATAAGCTGGCACATAATTCTCCTACATATTATGTAGGAGATTGAATAAGCACATTACTGGGTTGTTATTGAATAAGCAGGTTACTGGGTCTGTGTTGTTACCTACAGCAGCTTAACAAATATGTCAGATTTGAGCAGAAGTGGGCTGAGATAATATGTAGCTCCTGGCTTCTAGTTCCTTTCTTTTTATTGGGGAGGGGGAGTATAAGAACTATCTCAGCATGAATTTTTCTATTTCTGCTCTTAGGATCTGCCATCAGTTGTGTTTCCCCAGGTTTCAGGAACCCTTTCCTGGTACCATTTAGCTTTTCTCTTTTTTTAAAGACTAATTTTTCAGAAGCAATTTTGTCCCTTTCAGTTTTGGAGCAGAAAATTGACTCCCAGATCTCTCAGATTTGCTCCCCACCCAACTTGGAGGAAGTTTTTTTTTTTTTACCTTCACTCACACACAGAATGTTTTAGGCTGGTGGCTCCTATGAAATTTGATTTTCATTATATATGAAGGTAGCAAACTTGGTTCTCCATATGTCACCCCTGATGCAGCTCAAATGGCACACCTCATGCACAGTGAGGTACCCACAAACATAGGGGAACCCCAACATTTTTAGAAGGACATGAAACATTGACATCTCCCCCTCCCCAGTTCAGTGTGTGTTTAATGTATTCAGTGGCAACAGAATGCGAAGAAGACTGATTAGGCAGGGGTATTAGGTGTGGCACAGAGTGTTCTGAAAGGAAGCCCAATTGGATGAAGCACCAGGCACTGCAAAAATTTGATGCAGATTTCCACTTGT